ACATTAGGCATCCTGCAGACCACACGTGTGTTGATAGAGAAGAAGTGGGTGACATTTAGAGACTGAGATAAACTTGACCTAGTTAAATATACACCAAAAACCAAGTCAACATGTGAGCTAGGAAAACAAAAACAGTCCACATCAAATGAAGGATAATATTGAGAATTTCTGTGCCAATTAGAGCCTACTAGACGTCATTATAGGGAAAAAAATACTCTTTTCTAATCGGAGAAAGCATTAATTTGCAATTTTATGAATGTTTAGTTTAAATACCGGAAAAATTAAATGTCAGTACTATTGACCCTCCCTCCTAATTATTAAAGAATTATTAGAGATTAGAAAAATGCTATTACTTTAGCAAGTATTTTGTTAGGCCTCCTTCACATGCTAAAATCTCACTCAGTGCCAAAATATACAATGTGCAGCAACGCCATTTTGTGAAGCAAAGCATGATGGGAGTTATAGTCATCGCTCTTGTCATTGCCCCTCAAAAATCTCCTGAAAAGCCCTTTTTTATAGAAGCAGTACAACTACTTCTTTTTTTATAAGAAAACGGCTAAAGAACTGTTCTAGCGGGTATAAAATGCACAAGGACTCCCATCATGCCTTGTTGCACAAAATGGCGTCGTGGCACATGCAAAACACTAGAGCAACTTAATTTTGGATTGTGGGCAACATGTAGATTTGAGTTATGATTTAGGTCGTTTTTTTTCAAGTATCCACATTTGTATAATCGCCTAGCAAAAAAAAACTGGAATATCCCTAGTCCGCCAAATTAAAAGTCAATCAGCCAAATACACACTACGTGGTTAATTGAACGGTAGCTGCGTAGACTGGTGTTTTTTGTACATCGCTGTACTTGTAAAAGGCAGGCATAATGATAATATGACCTTAATATCATGGAAAACAAACGTTTTATCAGCGGGGTATATAGGGTCGCGTCATGTGGGCATTACAGTACATATCATTCGTGTCTGAAAGATAKAATCGCTACTTCTTTGCAAAGTATTCAACATCGAGATACCTTGGTTAAGCCCAGCTCTCTGAGACTGCATGTAATCTCACTATAGAGAAGAATGCGTTATCTGAYAAAGCTATCTAATGATGTGTCTTTATTTGGACAAAGTATCCGTCTATTGATTAACAACCTTGGGATATTGTATAAGAGCTAGAAACAATTATAAAGAAGGTATGGTTTAAAAGAGCTAATGTAACACTGTATCAGGAAATTGGGTAAGGCTTATAAAGGAAATAYTGGTTAATTTTGATCGGTACTAAGTTTTTCGAGCTTGCAGACTACAATAATTCCGGTCATATCCAAATAGATGACGCAGAATCAAACCTCAAAAAAAAAAATTTTTACAACATCTTTTCGTTAGTTCCTGGAGTTTCATAATATCTCATTGCCAAAATTACAATATAAGCATATGTCCTCTGCCTTACATTCTGATACTTTTACTTAAGTATTCCTACTGTGTTGCACGATAATCCTATCGAAAAAAGTTTTTAGCTACAAGATACCTTTTAAACCCTTTGATAAGAAGCTCAGATTATACAGAAACCCTTAAAAGTTTAGATGTTTTAAGTTAGATACTAAGCATGATTGTATTTTAAGGTTACCTTACGAMATTTAGCAAATCTCATAACATCATGAACTTGCTAAAACGATGGGGTGTTCATTACAAGCATTATTAAGATTTGCATTTTAAGGTTACTTTATGAAACTTAGCAAAGCTCATAACAGCAAGAACTTGCTAAAACGCTGGGGAATTCACTACAAGTGTTAAATATAAGTTAGATGTTTTATGTTAGGATCTAAGCAAAGATTTTTATTTTAAGGTTACCTTGCGAAATTTAGTAAAGCTCATAACAGCTTGAACTTGCTAAAACGCCAGGGTGTTCATTAAGGCCGATTGTAGACGGCACAACTTTTGCCTACAACCAGTCGCATGCAACCTGCGTAAGTCATCCTTACAACATATCTACAACTGTCGTAGGGATTTTACACAGTTGTAGACATGTTATACAAGGATGATTTTATACACAGGTTGAATGCGATGGTTGTAGGCAAAAGTTGTGTCGYCTAAATCGGCCTTTACAAGTCTTAAATAGGTATTATAAGTATTTTAAAGAACAATGGTAATAATATACTATAACTGTGCAATGCTAATATCCAACTGAGTGTATAATTAAGACCATGCAYCTTTCCTGATGAGTGCAGTTTGCTTTTTCTTTGAAGCGATTTGTAGTTTAATTTCCAGCGATACTGAAAGAACATGYSCTGATCACGTGCGTCAGTTCTATATTTAGCCAATMGTTACTTCCAGATTCATCTTATATGTTCTTTTTTTTTCTTAATACTTTTTCAAGTTAGTCTTTTTTAGGCAGGGAATAAAATAGAGGCGTGGCTGCCAGAGGGTCTTTTTCCACATCAATAAATGCAGCAAAGCGGGGATTATTATGAGATCATCAAATGGAATAGAACTAAAAAAGAAACTAAAAAAAAACAATGCGAATATTGGTTGAATAAGGCACACATGGATTTGCAGGCGTTCCGTCGGGGTTTCAAATTTGATATCATAAACGAATATTTTGTAAAATACTGATGAATTCATCTAAAGCACATAATTCAATCTAGAAGATCGACTGAACCTTTATGACAACAAAGCAGTTTTATAAATATAAATTACGAGGCCATAGGGTTAGAAATCCAGTACCTATGTCAAGCCCTTCTCTTCAATACATCGAGTACCTTAAGGTGAGCCGGAAGCCGAAAATACTTTCCAAGGACCGCCTTGGGGTATCTGAGCAATGTGGGAAATTCGAGAAGGGCTTTTGCYGAAATTCGCAAATATTTTCCTGCTTTGCAGGGGTTTAATAGTGTRTTGCATGCAAGGCCTTGAATAGTTTCAGATTGGATATTATTTAAGGAATACAGCTAGGCAGAAAGCGTTTAAAAAGCATTATCATCACAAGTATMGGCTTTGTGTTATTATTCCTTTAATCGGTTCCAAAACGGATCCACTTGTCTTTTTCCACTAGTAAGTTGACATTTCTGGACAATATCAATACGTTTTAAGGGAATCGTAATATCATTAAAGTTAGGTTTCCTAAGCTCCACATATATACACAATATGCAGAAATGTTTGAGACATATTTCAAGTATATATAATATCTAACAGAATTTATGGGATATCATCGCCAATTTTTTTTCGGAAAGTATTAGTGCTAAGCAACTTTAAGATAATATTGGCGATAATATTCTATAATTTCTGATATATTTTATATATACTTCGAATATGTCTCAAAACGATCATAATTTCTGCATATTGCTGTATCTAATGATATGTCAATAAGTTAGTATACGTTTAACGACGTTTATTCATGAGCTATGGCATGTTATAAGCACCACTTAATAACAATAGAAKAACTGGAAGAACTTGAATATTTCTACCATAAAACTTGATTCCAACCTAAGTTAATAATTGGGCAAAAGTTGACAAAAGGATTCCATACAACAGCACTGATCGTTATATAACAGCGTTATAAAGTTTTTTTCAGTCATTCAATATGGTTGTTGTTGTAGTTGCTGCTGCTGTCGTTGTTGAAGTTGCTGTATACTTTTTCTTTTCGTTTTTTCGTGTATGCTTTGAATTTTTAAAGAATAACTGATCGATACCCAGCCAAATTTAACCTGTTACTGGCCTGGCCTATGGTCGCGTGACTAGTGTGAACTTGTTAAAGACATTTTAAATACGATGTGATGGTCTAATCCGTTCATGTGTCTAAGCACATAATTAATACCATACGATAATTGATGTTGACACGCTAGAAAGTTCTTTAACTCTTTGTCTGTGTACTTTTTCTATGGATAGGAAAGTACTAACAACATTTGATTTGCAAATGCAATATCGTAATCAAATAAACATTCAGTATTTGTTTTAACTCTAAAAATAACTAATAATAATTACAACAAGGACAAAAAGTAACACAAAAAAGACCAACAATCAGGTTGTAAAAAAATATATATTTCAGTTTCTTTTCGCTTGTTTGTTAGTACGTTTTGTTTTTGTTTTGTTTTGTTTTTTTTTTATTTTCTTTTTTTCCTCGCTTTACTGTTTTTCTCATTCAGTTTTAATCTCAATTTCTTACGTCAATAAAACATTTTTATCATTGTTTGTTTATATTATCGATTTTGCCAGTTGAAGCTGTTTAACTGTTTTCGTTGTAGGTCGAGAAAAATAAACTAAAACATGAATCATGGATCTTTATCAATGTACAAGACATTCTACTGTTTAATTTTTATCAAAAAGTATGAATCCTTTTCACWTTTWATTTACCGCATGCTCAAGCTGTTGAAAATATTTGCTTTACGATCAGACAGTTAGACAAGTAATATACGTGATAATTCCGTCACATATAGGTATTAAGCACCGCCTCAATTATTAATTGTTTACATAAAGTTCTTAATAGCTACATAATCACTGTAAAAAGTGGTCTATTTCACACATGGTATACTACTTCTTTAACCTACTCAACTACATCTCACTAAGAGTGAATAAACCCAATCAAACAACCAACAGCTGTATAATCCAGACCGGGAATCATTTTCAAACCAGACAAAAAATGTAAAAATTCTGGGCGGCTTCTAACCTTCACTTGACAATTAGTTTTGTGAAAATTGAAGAAATGTACTTATAAAGGACCGCTATCAAATGTGTGGGAGGAAAATGATACATTGCTAATGAGATTAAGTATGTTTTTATCCAGAGCTTTTATAAGACCAGTGTTCATATGAGTTAAGCATAGTGAACGASATCTTTTCACTATGGTGAGAAGGCACCATTAATAAATTGTTCTCGTATAAAATACACTTTTAGCCCCTTTTCCAAAATTAGCATAGCTTTTTCTTTTAAAAACAAGACAAAATGAACCATGAAATAGTTTTAGTAAAACATACTTAGAAGCTCTGGTAAAGCTCAGTAGGTTTAATTGAAAATGTTTTATTTTCAGAAAATGCACGGTTGGTGGTATGGCCTACAATGCTAATACCACCCAGACAAGTATTTCTCTGTAAATTTTTCCATTGATACGAAATCCATATCTCCATGTTGTTTTTTTAATGGAACCAACTAGGATTTTACCCAGCTTCTAAGTGAAGCATTTCCTTAAGAATTTCAGGGGTCTTGTTATGTTATGCTAACGARCTAGAGGGTCTATTGCACTAGCCCTCGCCCTATTAAAAATCTAAAGCTGTATTTCTAGATCCCATCCTTTCCTATTAAAGTCCGAAATGTGCTCCAAACACTTATTCGAATGTGAAGGCATTTGCAGTATTTAGMGTCAAACCCGAAAAATTGAAATAACACATGGGATTGGTCGATTGAGAATATCGTTTCCGATTGACTAACGACTCTCCTTAAAAAGTACATGCGAGAAAGCTGCTCCTCTGGCAGTATATCAAATTACAATCAATAACCGTTTCTCGAATATGTATAAATATATGTGACCGGGGTACATTTTGTAGACTAACTCAAAACATGTCTGTGTATTTCTCACAGAATAAAGAGCCTTCTGCATAAAAAAAGACACTATGGAGATACAACAAAGATGGATATCGTATGGAATGTTAATTGTGGTTTTTGTGGCAAACATTGAAACTAAAATACAAGGTAAGATGTGCTAAAAAGRATGTTTAAGGAAATTGATATCAGTTTCCTGGACCATTAGTGACGAGTGATAAGGATGTTCTGATGCTTTCTAACTGTGGAATATATATATATATATAGCTCTCGACTGCCTTTTAAAGTCAAATAATAAGTGTAAAATCTCGAAAGTCTTGACGCAACGAGTGACATCGAGCTTGGACACAGAGAGCGTTCAGTCATTCCCGAAAATAATACACCATAGCTCTATATCTCTCCTTAGTAACGATTTATGAACGTACGTAAATAGATCAATATTTAGAAGTGAACCTCCATTTAACTACGACGATTGTYATGTCTCATTTAGCCTCTTTAATCRCATAGAAAACTTCGAACAAATATATTGAAGATGCAGTAAAAAAAGTTTGATTTTACATGCTGCTCATCTTAATCATTTGTCGCTAGACCAAAGAGGATTATGGGTAGAAGTGTTTCAACGATTGTAAATCATCAATTTTTTTTATTTTATTTTTTTTATTTTTATTTTTATTTATTTATTTTTTTTTTTTTGACATTTTCATAACGGCCATATTGGTATTCTTCAAATAAACAATTTCTCAAACAATTGTTGTTATAAAAACGAACATGGTGTGTTCTTCTGTTGTTGTTGCTGTTATTGTTATTGTTTTTTCAAGATATTTTTGTTCATATTTGCCAAGACTAAATAAATGATATTCTTGGTGATATCCTTTACACAATACTATTTAACGTTAAATTTTCAATCCCCATCGCTACTGAGATACACCTTTTTCGGTCTAGTCGTATACTGAAGATAACGACCAGAGACAACGATGATAAAAAGATCATACCCATAGTGCAATTCGGTATAGTCGTCCACAAATCATGTATTTCCGCAACAATCTTTTTAAAACAGCTGTATTCGTGCTTTKCTCTRCAGAGTTTGAYCTCATCAAAAGCTTTGAAGTCAATGCTGGTATAAGAGGCGTTGGAAAAGTKAATGGATATAAAAAAGAGAAAAACGATGCTTTCAAATTCGATAGAAGTCTTGCTAAACTACACAAGGGTCCAGAGTTTGTCAGAGATTTGGTACATGCGAGCCGTAAAGCACGTAGTTTTATAGTAACTGCAAATGTTAAACTGGACCGAGATTCTTATGGGACGCTGTTCTCATTGGAAAAACAAAAAGAAGGTAAGYWARGGKKRWTTTTTTTAAGCAATAAAACCCTTATTGTATGCCGAATCACAATTGTTTCRAWTGRGGCTTTCCMGRTACTGAGGTCGRCGAGATGCAATTTGGGATAGAYGYTGCAGCTTGAGAAATYCTTTAAAGACYCAAGTGYATCCAAGGGCCTTTGCGATCGTTTGTTCTAYTTTACAAAYKATCTATTTTTGAACRGTGCTTCCATAATTKTCCAAAATTMAAGACGTAAGATGTGATTTTGCATGTAAGAAGGTTGTTGGATGAACTTGGGMTTTGATTTCGACTTCGATCCTAATTTTGTTTAAACAAAAACGCCCTTTCAAGCCTCACCCATTATGACACTCCATTCATTAGATTCTGTTTTCAAAATTTTAAATCAAAATGTTWTTATGTGAAAATGTTGTTGGATTAACGTGGGCTTTGATTTCTCCTTTGATCCTAATTTTGTTTTAAAAAAACGCTCTTTCAAGCCTCACCCCATTATTGTGACTCCATTCATAAAATTCTGTTTTGAAAATTTTTAAAATGTAAAAAAATAAATAAAATCAAAATTTAAAAATCAAAATTTTCTCATTTATTTTAGGACAGATGATTTTCACTGCCCTGTTTAGCTGCTTTAGTACGTGTAGACTTGCTGTGTACTATCCACAAGGCGACATATCAAAGCCAATCTACTTTAATATCAAGCCACACTTATCAAATGGACAGTGGCACAAAATGGTGATMCATTTTCACCAAAACAAAAAAGGCAAAAATATTGTTGCCCTTTATGTAGACTGYACACAAATGGGCAAGCAAAAGATACCSTTAGCAATACCRGATCTMTTTYCTCAAGAGACGGAGGAAACGAAATATATTCTCCGATTTGCTCAAAGAGGAACRAGCTTTTCTGTATATATTCCATGGAGGGTAAGCGTGGCCTTTGAGGCCAGATTTKTGTATATTGAGRGATACCGTTGTATCTTRTTGYTGATAATTCTATTTACGTTTAAAGTTTTATGCATACAAGTTTAGGGCAGGCATTTTAAGTTAAAGTCATTGTCGAAAGTGGTTGCTGACAGATATCCATATATGGTATAAACCCCGCTTGCATGTGACGTCAAAGCAGCGTCATCTGATGCTATTTTAAGAACTAGAATCTATTTTTTTTTTGGTCAAAATGTAGTTGTATCCCCATAAGCTCAACTGTAACGCAAATTGGCCCTCGTATATAACAGACCCAGAAAAGAAATCAGGGGCCAAGAACTAAAGAAACTAGTGGGCCTCAAACTAAAGGAATCTCGCGCAAACCATTTTCATATTGTTCATATATTAAATATAATCAACTAATATCTAACACTGTTAAAAATACGATTCACGAAGCGATAATAAAAGGTTTCTCTTACCTCTAGTCATAGCTCAGTAGATTCTTAAAATCACATCTTTCAATTCCAGGGAAGTCTTCAAAATGTGTTCTTTATCTTTGGTGCGCATGTGCATCCATTCATTGAGCCAGCGGCATGCAAAGACAAATCCTTCAAGGAAATCCTGGAAAAATTAAAGGCAAAACGCATTGAAGAACAGAATCACAAACAAAAACAGAAACCAGTTCCACCCACAGAAAAGATAGCGACTGAAAGAGAAACCTCCCCCAGTCGATCTAACAAAGAGGACGAAGCTGCGAAGCTCCCATATTTGGTTCGAGATCGGTTCACTCCAACAACACACCAGGCAACCCCGAAAGATGAGAGTGGATTTCGTTTTGTAGATTCAGGTATTCAGCCAGTCAAGCTTAATGTTATCCGGGATGCTTTAGTTTTATATTCTCCTATACACTGTATTAGACTAAAATGAGCGCAAATATATATTCAAACTTTATCAGACCTTACATGATCGGATATGGACAGAATAAAAAAAGACATAAAAAGTAATTGCTGATAACAGAACACCCGGTTACGTGTGGATGGTTCCTTGCATTCCAGCAATTTTTTCATTTACGATTCTTCGAAATATTAACGACCTTGTATTTTTGCTATCGACCTGAACAGGGAGATCACGTTATGGAGCCGTCGATGAGACCCTTGTGCTATCTAGCAATGAAGAAAAACTCGATTACCTGGTGTCTATAATAAGAGATATGAAAAAAGAGCAGCGGACCAGAGAATCATCACTGAGGAGGACTATAGAGATGCTACGAATTGATCTCAATTCACAGGTTAGTTTATTCTTTCACTTAATGATGGTCTGTTTCCCTACAACGTCGGCGAGATGCATTCTGGGAAAGAAAGTACGAACGAGAGTTTTGTCTTATATCTTTATTTCCTGTCTAATCACAGTCGAACGAAGTTGATCATGTCCGCCAGTTCTTAGAACAAGGAGGAGGGTGCCGTGCAGGTAGCTTGGACCGGAAGATCTTCCGACCTGGGAATATCAACAAAAAGGAAAAAAAAGAGAAACCTAAAAATGGAAAATGCTCCAAAAATCCGTGCTATCCAGACGTTGAATGCATTGAGACCCCTGGCATTGGTCTTGGCTTCCAATGCGGTCCTTGTCCACTTGGATTTACTGGAAATGGTCTTCGTTGTGAAGATTTAAATGAGGTAATTTCCCTAGTCATTCTATATTTCTAATGCCTAGGATTTAATTTTTTCAATAATATATTTTTACTTTTAGTGCGAT